CATATGTTCACCAGACATGTTATAAACGAGGAGACTGACCGCTGGTTGAAATATGAATGGGACAGCTCGTAACTCTCAACATGTCGTCTGTATACAGTGTAAGTCCCGCCCTTCAGGAATCAGAGCCAGTCAGCTTGCTAGTTACGCCATGAGCAGGAAAAGCCCCCCCCCTCGTTGTGGAGATGTGCACAAGCACATTCGCCAGAACAGCCCGAAAAAGGACGTTTTTATTTAGCCAAACACTACAAACTGTTTATGAGGTTTTTGTCTGGTTTTATCAGTGATTTCAAACGTGTTTGAAACAGTAATTTAACCTTCAGTTTCGAATATTTAGGTCTCTTCCCGTTCAACGAGACAGGGGTCTGGTCTTGTATGGCTCGAAATAACTGCCTGGCGGCGTTGCAAAGATGGCCGCCGAGTGAACAGACTTTCGTATAAGGACTTTGTGTTCACCATGGGAGTTAGCTATGTTAAGCTAGCGGAGTTAGCTCAGCACTATATGGGATTTTAATACCAGCTCTAGTTTAAATACAGACATTTTTAGCTCATAACAGACATGCAAGTAACATTTTTTACTTCGTGTGTCTCAGTTATCAAGTAACACTTCATTTGAGGGCTTGAAGCCTGTCTCTTATTATTGTAGCGATAGCCTGGTAGCTGGTTAGCTCTCTGCCTTCTGCTTGGCCCACTACTGAGGGCAGAATTCAGTTATAGAGGGGATTTAACCTGTAAACAAGTTAAAGTGAGTCTGTAAGCAGCAACCAGTGATGTTCAGCTGGCAGTTCATCGTGCATGTATTCACAGAAGCGCCTCAGAGACATTTAATGGGATAAAACGATAACTAATAAGTTAGCACCCTTTCTTTGACTTCATTAAAATGGTAGCAAATGACACTTCCACTCCCAAACCGGATATTTCGGCCATAATCTTGAAACAGCAGCCACGTGAAAAGGTGTTTATGTAAATACATTCGTTTTTATGGCATCACAAAAGCAAATTCAAAGCTGGCTGTTTTTGCAGCTCAGTTTCCATATATGGACCACACAGATGGGAGAGATTGTTTTTTTTTTTTTTAACTTTAACATTACGTGCTACATCAAAAAGAGAATTTTCCCTCTTACCAGAAGTGTAAATCAGCCTAGACATGATTGGTGTCTGAAGTTTTCTTCTTTAGTTTGGGACTGGCTAATGCAGCTAATGTAAAAGAAGCTCATGTAGACCAATTAGCATCAACCACATGCCGAAATCCTCACACGCTTTCCTGAAGCCATTTTGAGTTGTTAAATAATCTCAAATACACTTGCTGATGTGGTTTCTGACACTGCATGAAATACTGTTATCTGTAAACATGGATGAAAGTGTATGATAAGCATAACATCATCTGCATTAGCCTCCAGTGTGCAAAACGAAAGAAGCACACTTTAGATGCTAAACATGTCTCGATCAGCGAACTACACTGGGGACAATGGGAAAGTATGACCTTTGTATACCTTTATTTATGACCCCTGTCTCTTTAATACAGTGAACCACTGTCTTTAACTACGTGACCCAGGACCTTCTTTTCTTAATGGCTGTGTTCTGCTGTTTTAATTCCAGGGGTGATGTCACTGTGAGACGAGACAGCCGATTGGACAACTCGCTTTCGGAATCAGACAGAGACTCGGAGGAGGAGGAGAGTGAAGGTGAGAGAGAGATACAGCAGGACACGTTAAAGGGATAGTCTGGCTATTATCTTATTTGAGGATCTGAGCTCCTTGCCAACATCCCATGCTGATATGATATTTCATATTAAAGGAACCATTTATATTACAGTTTTCCTCCTCACCACAAACATTGTCGATCTGCCAAGACATGTTTTGCACTGCTGCTACAATGCTTATGTTGCTAACTAGTAATGTAAGCTATTAGCATTGTGCAAACTCATATTAGCATCATCACACTCTTGCCTCAGACCCCACAGAGGTGGACAAAAGTGTTTTAGCTGTATGCAGTGTACTTTTGTCCATTTTTATAGATAACAGTATGGAATACAGTGTCAGCAACCACATAAGCATGTCTATTAGTGATTACTTAACGAGAGTTCCACCGATTTTTTAAAAGTTTTCTGCATAATTAAACGGTTAAGAGGTAAACAAGGTCATTCAAAGTGTTTTGGTGTGAAATGGTCCATTCTAGAGAAACTTACCGAGTCAGAACTGTTCACAGTGGTGGTGATAGGAACCTGACGTCCACCTCTAAAAGCTCCCTCACAGAAAGGTATTAATGAATTGGTGATGAATATGCTGCCTGACGCCTGAGACACTGTTTTATGAGAGTTTTGAGAAAGTTATGACCTGAAACATTTTTAAAATTGTGTAAATTTGTGGTGGAGCGGTACAAGCAGGCAAAAAATCTTTTTTTTTTTTCAGATTTATGAATGTTGTACCGTCATCAACATTACATATAAGAATTTAGATGATGCGTATAGGTTCACTGGTGGTTTTGGATAGTAAATAAATAATGGCTATGTTTGTGTTGAGACCCCTGGTTCCTATCAGCACCACTGTAAAGACATACAGATAAAGACATCTGAGTCTCAACAATGAACCGTTTCACATCAAACCACTCTGACTTTGTTTACATCTCAACCACTGAATTAGGCAGAAATGTTTAAAAAATCCACCATACTGGCAGGGTTCATTCTTTGGTCTGGTCCCATTTCTTTTTTTACCCCTACCCCTTGTTTTTCGAGTGTCCCTGTCGGTGGCATTCAGCCACCAACAGATGTTCTGTCATATTTAACCAGACAGGATTCATACGATCATTGTTTTAAATCTGTTACTTACGACAGTGTTTTGGGGCCACCGTTAAAAAATAAAAATAATAGACTTCAAGAATAAAATCATATTTTTAAAAATAAAATCATAATATTTTGAGAATAAAGTCACAATATTTTGATAATAAAGTCATAAAGTTACAAGAATAAACTCGATATTTCGAGGTTAAAGTAGGCTTATTGAAGGGGGGGGCTGATACAACGCGTAGGGGCCTCAGTTGCTGTACTGGTGAGGATTATTATCATATTATTCTCAAAATATTACGATTTTATTCTAAAAATATTATGACTTTATTCTCAAAATATCATACCGTACAACTTTTTATCTCAAAATATTATGACTTTATTCTCGAAATCTACTATCTTTAATTTTTTTAACAGTAGCCCTGTTTAGCAAACACTGCTTGCCTGGCTAGTTAGCAAACTAATGACACTATTACTGCACTGTACAATAATAACCCCCCAAAAATCCCCATTTGATCACACGTGATTACACTGAAGGGGCAGTCAATCTAAAGTCTTTATAAGAAACAGATAAACACCAATCTTCTGAAACCTCGGCTAACAGCACTAGCCCGGTCACAGCACAACGTCTTTCACCTCATACATTTTAGCTGGAAAACAACACGTTTTTAAGCTAAAATGCTGATTGGTGGTGGTAGCATCACTGCGTACCTTACCACAAAGCTTAGATTTGCTTCTTATTTGCCAGCTTCTTATTTCTGCTCCACCTTAAATCTGCAGCGGTTCCATTCTGGCACCCATGAGCTGTTTGTGAAGAGTAAATAAGCTGATTTCAAGAGTAATAAATCCACTAAATGAGGTTGAAAGTTTTATTCTGTTAAAGCTGTACAATTAGATCTATAAAATGGGCTTGATTGACACTGAGCAGTGCTTCCTATGTGCTGGTTAACTAGAGCTGCGTCTGAAGAACTGAATGAACCTCCCACTCTCATCTGCTTTTCTTGATTTTGCTCTGGTCTTTGATCTGGTAGTCATGTAGAGCCAGATGTTTCTCAGCTCTGCTAACATACTAAGTTACTCCATGGGCTTCAGATCAGACAAAATCAAAGAAAGCAGGTAAGGAAGGGAGATTCTTTCAACTATTGTTAAACAGCCCAGGTCGACTAAGCCTGCTTTCACACCGGCAGCGACGTGTCAAGACAAAGCGGCCGGAGGTCATTCATTTTCGATGAGAGCTGGCGATTTCCGGCGTCAGGAGGCGGCGCGAACATTGGCGATGCGAAGTGGCCGATGTGACGAAGTTCAGCGGCGTCCAACTTTATGCAAATAAGGAGTGAAGAGATGTTCCGATTACCAATAGGAATTGAGCATTGAGCAGCGTAGCACGCGCTTTATCTCTGCCACTGTGAAACGATACCCTCCTTTTTTGGTTCCTAGATTATTGTTCCTACTAGAGATGGAATAATGGCAGCGGTGGTGCTTATAGACAGTACTCACAAAGACCAAATACGGTTTTCCTCACATACTGACTGCACAGACACGGGGATTAAATAAAAATAAGCACACAAGCGATTCCTCACCAGGATTTTATTTTTAATTCATCGGATTTGTGCTTAGCATCAGTGAAACCATGGCAACCAACAGTCGAGTTCAGAAACACCCACCCAGAGATTTGGGCAACGAAAGGCGAAAAGTCACTGCCGGTGTGAACGCAGGGTAACCCTGCCACAATGGCGGATCACCCATAAAAGCATGTCATGTTTTTAGCTGGATTGTTCCTTTAATATTGAATCAGAATCTGTAAACTTGTCAGTCCAAAACTGTTCCATAGTAAGTGGTACTTGCCTATTTGTTTTCACAGATGCTGATGAAGACTCCATTCCCCAAGATGCATCAGACACAGAAGAAGTGGCTACTACTTCGTCCTGGCTACGATGCGTCCTCCAGTGAGGGGAGGGGGGGGAGTGAGAGAGAGACTTGGACTGAAAATAGAGAAAACGTGGGGTGTGAAGTGTAACAGATTGAGTGAGTGGTGACGGGGCAGAAAGAGCGGGTGGACAACAGATTGTTCGGCGTGTAAACGTTGTGTCACGTAGCCAATAAAAGTGCCATATTGTGCCCGTGTCTGTGCGTGTGAAATTATTTATCACGGCTGGCGTTTCTGTCTGTAAATATCCGCAGCTCTCTCCATCGCTCCGCTCGCCCTGTCCAACACTCAAATTAATGCGTATTGATTTTTATTTAGTTATTTATTTATTTATTTTTCTCCCTGTTCCATTTGCCACGTCTGTCCTTTTTCCCAGTACTTTTCTTTCTCCTCCTCTCCTCGTTCATCCTGTTCAGGCCGGAATATTACGAAGTCATTTCTCCCCGCTATTTCTGTCTTCAAAATCCGTTTCCTCTGTTCTGTTTAATTGAACCAGTTAAAAAGCATAATTAGCATTTAAATCTCTCTTCTACAGGAACACCCCCCCCCATATTGGTTACACACTCTCTCTCTCTCTCTCTCTCTTGCTCGCTCACTCACGCTCTCTCGCTCTCTCGCACGCACTCTCCGCTCGCTCAGTTTCTCCATGTCTCTGTCGCTACGGCAACCAATGCTTTTTCCCACTCTGACACACTCGGGCTCTCTCCGTCTCTCTTCCACTCCCTCCATCAGCGGCGGAGAGGTAGGCATGGGGACCGATAGCGGTCTTCAGATGCATGCGTGTGGGTCTTTCGCTTTATTTCGTGTGTAGTGATGTTGATAGCTTTAGGCAGTGGCTGGAGTTATTGCCCGCGTCGGGAGCTGGATTAATGCGCGCTGGATGTGTCCACAGGTGTGTGTGGGTGCCTCTGTTAGATTGGGGGGGCTGAGCATATGGTATATGTGTGAGTGCAAAACGCTTTGTTTATTGAATTTCCAGTCAACAGTGGTTGTATATAAGTTCGTTTTTTCAGCAGATGTTTCTAAGATTAGTTAGAAGGTATTACGTTTGTATTAGGAAGGGGAAAGTCAAAGGGAAATAAGTGCATGAGTTTCCAAAACTGTTGCAAAGAAAACAGGATTCCTAACAACCACCTGTAAGATCTGGTAGACCACCAAAACTGTCCCCATCAGATAAGCAGCGCTTAAAGCTTCGAGAGAGAGGAGAAAATCAAGCTGCTTCAGATCTGAAAACATCCACATCCATCCTTCCACTGTGAGAAGACGACTCAGTGCTGTTGGTCTGAAAGGATGTGTAGCTGTGAAGAAGTCATAACCGAGAAAAGGAAACAGACACATCGAGCAAAGAAGCTGCTGGTGTTCTCGGAGCAGTGGACTGACCACCCCAGAGTCCAGACCTCAACATCAAATGTGGGATTACTTGGAGAGGACGAGGCAGAAAGTGCAACCAGCTTCTAAGACTGAACTTTGGAGGAGTGGAAAGACACCCCTGCAGATTTCTCTGCAAGCAAGTCTCGCAAAAAGAATGGAAGCTATAATAAGGGACTAAATACTGGAAAATAATGATATGCTTAGTAGTTGAGGAGGTTTCTGTGAAATATACCATCGCAGTCCAAAGAAAAAAATCTGATTTTGACTTTTCTGCATCATTTGAGCGCGGCCGCTGTCCTTCTCAGTTTGGGGAAATTTTATGATAAATGGACGAACAGAAATGCTACAAAATTGCTTGGAATAAAATGGCTTTGCATTAACGTACATAGAAAATAAAGAAGGTTTTTGCCCTCTCCTGTAAACTTACGATTTTGGAGATACTTGTTTGTCTTTGTACAGTGCTGAATGTTTTCAGCTTCCTCCTGATGCGGGAAAATGCTTATTATTTCTATTAGTAATGACCTGCTTCACAGGAAATTACATAAATGATGGTGTCTGACGTGTGTGTGTGTGTACGTATATACGTATATATATATATATATGTATATATATAGACAGATATAGCTATGTGTAGATATATATAAATAGCTACATATATACTGCATATCGCTGCTGTTGGGACAAAACCTCAATAGATTTTTGTCGTTTTTCAGGTTTCGACAAAATTTGAAAATGCCTGTTGTCCTTTACATTGTGTAGAAATTTCATGATGAATGGGCCAAAAGAAACGGCCCAGAATGACTTGGAAAAAATTCTGGTTCCATTGACTTACATTAAAAGTAAAGTATGTTTTTTCCTTTTCCTGTGAAGTTACCATTTTGGAGATAGGAGGTTTTGTTCCGACAGCAGCGACATCCTATGTTACAGTGGAAGTGAGTTGATATTTATGTTCACTGTATGACTGTAAAGTGTGTGTGTGTGTGTGTGTGTGTGTGTGTGTGTGTGTGTGTGCGCTGCTCCATCTTTCTCCACTCCAGCCATCTGTTTATGGTCCTTCAGTAAAAGTGTCAGGACTGAGCCCCCCCCCTCCCCCCTCATATGAAATGAATGGAGGAGCCGGGAGCCAGTGAAAAGAGCGGAGCGATGGAGCGATGGTAAGGAAAAGAGAGAAGTAGTGTTTAACACAGGCGCTCACACTCATAACTCTTATTTATATAACTTATTACGTGATCTTTCACCTCTGACTGTAAATGGCTGTCATGAATTATAGACCATTAACTGCAATTTCTGCTCGCTGTCTTTTCTCTGCACTGAGTACCAACAGCTTCACTGTTCCCGTCTAACCAGATCACTCTTTCACTCTTTCACCCTCGATTCATCCTCCCTTCCTTCTGTTCCTTATTTATCCTTCCCTTCTTCCCTTTTTTCTTCCTTTGTCCTTTCTTCATCCTCTTCCTGCTCTTTTGCCTTACTTCCTTCATTTTCTCCTCATTCTTGCTTTCATTCTTACTTTTCTTACCTTCTTTATTTTCCTTCCTATTCCTTCCTTATTCCTATCTTTCTTCTTATCCTCGTTTTCCCTTCCTTCTGTCCTTTCCTTCCTCTCTTCCTTCCTTCCTTACTCATCTTCCTTTTTGTTTCCCTTCTTATTTTTGTCATCTCAATTCTTTCTTCATTGTCTTCCTTCCTTTTTGTCTTCTTTTTCCTTCCTTTCTTCCTTATTTTTGTCCATTATTCCTTTCTTTCTTCTCATCCTCCTTTTCCCTTTCTTCTGTCCTTCCTTCCCTCCTTCCTTCCTTCCTTTCCTTCCTCTTTTCCTTCCATCCTTCCTCTTTTCCTTCCTTTTTCCAATCTTTCCTTCACTTATTTCTTCCATCCTTTCTTCTTTCTTTTCTACCTTCCTTTCTTCGCTTATTTTTGTCCTTTCTTTCTTTCTTTGTTTCTTTCTTTCTTTTCCTCCATCCTTTTTTATTTCCTTCCTTTCTTTCCTCTTTGCATCCATCCATCCATCCATCCCTCCTTCCGTTCCCTCTTAGCTCCATCTCTGGACCGACCCCTCTCTGGTGCCTCCTGCTGGTTGTCGTTGTTACTCACCCCGCCTCCTGCCAAGAGGAGGCGGGCCACATGCAACTGTCCGTCACTGCTCAGGCCACGCCCACTCCGCTCTGGGCAGTGGACTGGGGCCCAACACAGCCGCTGGAGGACGAGACGCATCACCTCCTGTCCAGCCAGGAAACTGAGGGGGCCAAGGCTGCCACACCCGAGGCGTGGCCTCACCACTGGAACACGCCGGCCAACCAAACCCAGCAGCTGCTGTCCATCGAAGCTAGAGACTCGGGAGAGGAGCCAGAAGAAGAGGCGGAGGAGAAAGACACTGAAGAAGGTGGGGCACCTGGAGCAAAGGTCTAGCTTTCTAAAGGACTCCATTACCCATAATGCTCCTATCTCACTCATCCTACCTTCATGAGTCTTGCTTGACAAGATCTTTGATTGTTCTAGTAGTTCGTCAGCAGTTCAGTCAGAAACACTAACGTTGATGACCATAAGCGAAAGAGAACCTAAACAGATGAGCTTTATGGGGATTCAGTCATGCTAACTGGCTATTTGCATTCATCGTTGGCCTCACTGGCCTGTTTTCGGTCAAGCTGTTCTTTATCTCTTCATCAATTCTCAACTCCTCCCAACAGCGTGTCCATTCATCACTCCCGTTCTCTCAGCTGATTCATTCGGCTTCTCGCCCCATTTTTCTGTCACTTTTATTTATTTCCCAATCCGTTTCTCATTCCCTCTCTTTCTTTCTGCAGTGGATCCCCAGTTTAGTGTGACCATAACTGTCTCGCCTTTGCTAATTCTCTCATTCACAGCTTTCATTTCTCTCATTAAAGCACTCAGGCAAAATGTTGCTAACAACAAGTGAAATTGAGTGTCCACTAACTATTGCTGTGTCAATTGAATCACGCTAACTGCCTACTGTTTTACTAGCCACATTAGCATGTTTATTTACTACCCAATTAGTTTGTTCTTTCTTTCTTTCTTTCTTTCTATAGTTTGTATTCATTGTTAGCCACATTAGCATATTTATTTACTTCCCAATTAGTTTTTTCTTTCTTTCTTTCTTTCTATAGTTTGTATTCATTGTTAGCCACATTAGCATATTTATTTACTTCCCAATTAGTTTTCTTTCTTTCTTTCTTTTTTTCTTTCTTTCTTTCTATAGTTTGTATTCATTGTTAGCCACATTAGCATATTTATTTACTTCCCAATTAGTTTTTTCTTTCTTTCTTTCTTTCTATAGTTTGTATTCATTGTTGGCCACGTTAGCATGTTTAGTCGAACTATTCCTTCAAGCAAGAGGAGGGATTCAGTTCAGTCATTTGCTGTGCCACGGTTTTTTTTATTCCTTTATTCCTAGTAAATCTATGTGACCATAGCTCGTCTTCGCTAAGCCACATTAGCTTTTTAAGTTATCAGTTCAGTCAAAAACGCTAACAAACAAAAGTTGTGTTGCTAACAGTGAGCTAAGTGAAATTAAATGTCTATTAATTAGCTTTACGGAGATGGAGTCATGCTAACTGTCTACTTGTTTGTATGCTTAGTTAGCCACATTAGCATGTTTAGTCAAGCTATTCTTTTAAAAGGAAGCTAGTTTTATGTCTTCAAACTCGTTTTTTTTCAGCCGTGTGTTCATTTAACACCATTTTCTTCATTTTTCTGTCCCCTTTATTTATTTCCACCATTTTATTCCCTCTTTCTTTCTTTCTGTAGTGAATCCCCAGTTGTAAGTGATCATATCTTGTCTTTGCTGATTCTTTCAGTAAGAGCTGCCACTCATGTTAATGTTGTAATTAGTAGTTCAGTTGAAAATGTGAAAAATTGTAAAAGGAAATGTTCGTTAATTAGCTTTGTGGAAATGGAGCCGTGAAAACTGGCTACTCATTTTGTATTCATAGTTAGCCACATTAGCGTGTCCAAGCTAATCAGGCTAGTCCTGTAAGAGGAAAGGTTCAGTTTTGTCAGCTGCTCATGACGCTGTAGCTGCTTTTATCTCTTCATCAGTTCTCAGCTCCTTTCAACCGTTTATTCAGTTTATCTGTCCCTTTATTTATCTTTTTACTTCTTTTATCCTTCCCTCCTTCCTTCCTTATTCTTTCTTTCTTTCATTCCTTCCTTCATTCTTTTTCCTTTCCTTCCCTCCTTCCTTCCTTCCTTCCTTCCATCTTTATTTCTTTCTTTCCCTGCTTCTTTCTGTCTTTCCTTCCTTCCGTCTTTCTTTCTTTCTCCTTTCCTTCCTTCCTTTCATCTTTCTTTCTTTCTTTCTTTTTCTTTCTTTCTTTCTTTCTTTCTTTCTTTCTTTCCTTCCTTCCTTCCTTCCTTCCCTCCATCTTTCCTTCCTTCCATCTTTCTTTCTTTCTTTCTCCTTTCCTTTCCTTTCCTTCCTTCCTTCCTTCCATCTTTATTTCTTTCTTTCCCTGCCTCTTTCTGTCTTTCTTTCCTTCCTTCCGTCTTTCTTTCTTTCTTTCTTTCCTTCCTTCCTTCCTTCCCTCCATCTTTCCTTCCTTCTATCTTTCTTTCTTTCTTTCTCCTTTCCTTTCCTTCCTTCCTTCCTTCCATCTTTATTTCTTTCTTTCCCTGCTTCTTTCTGTCTTTCTTTCTGTCTTTCTCTCCCTCCTTCCGTCTTTCTTTCTTTCTTTCTTTCTTTCATCTTTCTTTCCTTCCTTCCTTCCTTCCATCTTTCTTTCTTTCCTTCCTTCCTTCCGTCTTTCTTTCTTTCTTTCTCCTTTCCTTCCTTCCTTCCTTCCTTCCTTCCATCTTTCTTTCTTTCCTTCCTTCCTTCCGTCTTTCTTTCTTTCTTTCTTTCTTTCTCCTTTCCTTCCTTCCTTCCTTCCTTCCATCTTTCTTTCTTTCATTCTTTCTTTCCTTCCATCTTTCTTTCTTTCTTTCCTTCCTTCCTTCCTTCCATCTTTCTTTCTTTCCTTCCTTCTTTCCTTCCTTTTCTTTCTTTCTATCTTTCCTTCCTTCCTTCCTTCCTTTCTTTCTGTAGTGAATCCTCAGTTCTGTGTGATCATATCTTGTCTTTGTTCACTCTTACAGGAAGAGCTGTCACTCATGTTAACGCTGTAGTTAGTAGTTCAGTCGAAAGCTGCTAACAGTCTCAGTGAAAGGGAATGTTTACTAATTAGCTTTATTAGCTGGCTACTAGTTTGCTTTCGTAGTTAGCCACATTAGCATGTCTGGCCGAGGTATTTCTTTAAAAGGAAAGATTCAGTTCAGTCATTCCAGCTGCTTATGACACTGTAGCTACTTTTATCTCTCCCACAGTTCTCAGCTCCTTTTTATCCTCCGACTGCTCTCCGTATTGTGTTCACTCAGTACTTCCATTTCTCTTAGCTGGGACTGCCTTTCTGATCCTTTGTGCTTTGTGTCTTTTCTCTTCATTTCCCTGTCACCTTTATTTATTTCCCAATCCGTTTTTATCCCCTCTCTCTCTCTCTCTCTCTCTCTCTCTCTCTCTATCTCTCTCTCTCTCTCTTTCTTTCTCTTTTTCTTCCTTTTTCTTTCTGTAGTGGATCCCCAGTTCTATGTGACCGTGACTATCTCGTCTTTGCTGATTCTCTCGGCGGTCATCATCTCAGCCAAACTCTGGTGAGGCGGCTTCAGCACTTAATCTGTCCTCACTGCACCGTCGCACGTCTCCACACACTGCCTTTATGTGTGTGTGTGTGTGTGTGTGTGTGTGTGTGTGTGTGTGTGTGCGTGTGTGTGTGTGCATGTTTGTGTGTGTACACTCAGTTTGATAATGCCAGCGTTCGCACGCCAGATTTTCCTGCAGTTATCTCTCAGTGGAAGCATTACAGAGGGAGTTTCACAGCTCTGTGAGGTTGTCAGGAGCGCCAACATTAGATGTTCTAGCTCTGTGTGGAAGCCTTGGCTGTGTTTTTTATTGTGGAGCTTTAATCCGAATCAACGTACAGGTCCAGATTATCCAGTATGATTGGAATGAGGATGCAATGGCATGGGTGTAACTTTTATTTTTGGAAAAACTATTGGTGATAAGGATAAGGACCTGGAAAGAAAAAACAGGGAAATTTAGCTAAATAAACCAATGGGATTGCCCTAAAAGTTCCACGATTGCTAGTTAGCATTGTTTGACATTGTATAGCGTTGATTAACCTTTTTTACAGTAGCCATAAAATGAAATGTCCACCTGTTTTGGAGGTCTCTTAGCTGTGCTCTGCATTTTTTCTTCAGGAATGTGGATGGAAATATGCATGATTCACCAAACCGGAAGCCAAGCCAACATTAAAAAAAAAAATGTTTACTTGCAATTTGGTATCAAGAAAGCCAAGGTTTTGACCATCTTAGTGAGGGTTATGGGTTGTTTTCACAGCAGGGGGTTGCCACCCCTCCTTTTTCACCCCTTGTTGCTCACGAGCAGCTCAACAACATTTCAGACACAGGGATAAAACAGTGTCCTAGTTAAGCTGATAAGTTTTACTCAGAACTAAAAGTTACTATGGAAAATATTGAATTTGGTTACGTTAATGAAAAATCACTGGGTTGATTTCCATTCTGCAGGTGGAATGACCACCAGGGGACCTGCACAACAAGGCTACAGTTAAAGTTGACCTTTTTTACCTCGTTAGTCCATGTCATGTCTCTATATTGTGCACAAATCATCACATCATTTAAAAGAAAAAATATTGTTTTCTTTTCATTTTCCATAATTGTCCATTAATTTTCCAATATTACTTTTACCCGCCTGTAAGGGGTAAAGCCTAGGCTGCGGCCGAAGTAGGGCGGGTCCTCGGTAGGACTGTCCTATGAAGACTCCTTAGTAGCCTGTTGGTCACACAAATGAAACAGTCCTAACGAGGCTGCGTGGTGACGTCACCAAAAAGGTCCTGCATCTTGCAATAGCGGCGCGAAACTTGTGAGGGAACTGGTGAGAAATGGAGCCCGTTGCATTGTGTTTATTGCTGTGGTAGCTAAGATGTCAAGAAGCTTACGTAGTACGATAAACTACATATATACAAATACTTCTGATTAAACAACAATATATGGACGAATTCTTTAATTAATGAGTCATTTTACGCTTTATAAGGTAATGAAGATGAATTCAAGGACGTGAACAGCTTGCATTTCGCAGTTTTCCGACATTTTCGTGATGCTGTTTTTTTTTCCTTTGCGTCGTTTGTGCACAGAGAACTGTGGGTAACTGAAGGCCTCGAACGATACAGTTGCGTCCTCGAAATCACTCAGAATGTAGGCTGCATTTCTAGGCTGTATACAAAGCGTCCTTCACTTTGGAACGGCCTTCTATGACGTAGCGGCCGAGAAATACAGCCTAGGCTTTGGAATGCAGCTACAGTCTACAGTGCAGACATTATCTACAGTACAGTCTACAGTACAGACATTACAGTACACCAGCAAGTCTTTCACCTACCACTCCCACCCCCACCACCCCCACCAAGCATTGAAAGAAAATGCTCAGCTAGCTCAGAGACCCTGATTTATGTTTACCTAACAACGTATATCTGTGGTTATATAAATAGGATATGATGGACAATCCCAAATATTACTCAGCGTACAAAAATGATTTGGGTAATATTGCGAGAAAAGACAGGCACATGAAGCTCATCGTTGTAACGTTTGCTTGTAACATACCTATCTAGACTAACAGCTCTCGCAAACTCCATATATAAGATGGTGAAATAAGATATTATCCGTCACTACGCTGGAAAATTTGTCTCAATAACCTGTTATCAGGTAGCACTCACCCACTGCTCTCCTCTGCTCAGAAATAAACTTAATGATTAGCTCCTGTCTCCATTATCGCAGCACTCAACAACAGCACTCTGCTTTATTTATTGTCAGTGAACTGCATAGCCGCCAGTACATCACATGTCAATTTGATTAATGACTAAAGACACTTTTCCACATGGCCGAGATGTATTTAGAAAGTGTTTGGACTGCTGTCTGCCACCAGCTATTACATGAACGATTTTCAACAGACGACACTTTAAAAAAGTGGTGGGGACATGTCCCCAGCGTAACTTGAGCCTATCAGTCTGAGAAGAGTCTTCTCTGGTCCCAGAAGTCTTTTGAGGCTAGGCCATTGAATGATATGAGAACAGTATCTCAATATGAAGTTTGTTATTATCAACAATTACACTTTTTTAGATGTAAGATCTTCTTGCTGATCTTGTATGACTTCTAATATTTGATTTGTGATACGTGTAACTATAGCTGCATATAGGGGTCATTCCATACCAACCCACCTAGCCCTCCCAGGTCATGTCATGGATTTTCTTTAAAAAAAAAAAAACATGTGAAAACATCTATTAAATTTATGGGACCCTGCAAAATCTAATATCTGTACTCCGAATACTTTTTTAGTTATGAAGTTTTGAAGTTTGGCCCTTTTCATCATTTTTGCGGTTCTGTGTATGTGCACTCTAAGCCTCGACAGTTGCTTATTTTTTGCTGGATTGGGTTGATATTTATACTGAACTACCTGACCACTACTACCTAAGGAAATCTGCAACATGTATTCATGTAAATATTTGTTGCTGAATGTTTCACAGTAATTTAAAAAATATTTTCTTTCTGAATGAAGAAACTTTAATTTTCAAAAATTAATATCTGCACTAGTTTTCACTTTCATGCAACCAGATTTTGAGTCTGTGCAGTATTAATATAGTTCTGTCAAATCTACAAGTTATTTGGTCTGGCATAAAAAGTGAGTGCCGCAGATCTTGCTAAACATAGCTTCGTTGCTGAAAACCCAGTTTTTAAGATATTTTGACTGTGTATTTTCCCGCCAAAGGATAATTTGAATTTGCTTGAAACTTTTTTTTATGGGAAGGTGTTGAAATTTATCGCTGATACATAAAAAAAAAACAGATGTTGTATTAGTCCTTCATCATTTAATAATTGATTGAAAATAGCTAATTTGTCATACTTTTCACAGGCAGTAATATTACATTCGGTGGTTTTATTTCATAGGTGAATATTTGCACTATGTTGACTTCAAGGTTTTCTGTCTCTGTGTGATACCTGTTGATGCTGTGTTTCACTGGGTTCATGAAATGTGCGATGTATTGGCTTGATTTGTTGCACACTAGATGATATCATCTTGATGCATTTTTGTGGATGGTTTTAGTTTTATACACAGGAAAAGATGTAACATTCCTTGTGCTGTTGGTACGGGATTTCGCACAGCAGCCAAACCTCACTGCCAGATGCAAGTACTCATGCCCAACAACCTAGCATATCTAACAACGACAACAAAAAAAGATGCCTTCGTGAGCTTTTCACAAGTGGGCACATTCCTTCATCAGTGTCTCGTGGAATTAAGCCCACAACACCTCCGGAAGGCTCAACAGTGGTGTCTGGCATCTCAGACCCACCCGCCTCCATGCTCACGACGGATTAGAACACATGTCGATATCAGAGACAACAACAGATACACCTCAAGATACGCCCAAGCATTGCTGAAAGACGTCCCCTCAAAAGGCATGGTTCAATGCCAGTCCATCTGGGTTCTTCAGACATACTTAGGCCTATTTGCTGGTGTCTCTAAGTATGCCATCTTCAGCCGTTCTTATACCCGTAGATTTAGGTGGCTTTACCTATGGCCTCCTTAGCTATACCCATGCCATGTCGATGCAGTCTCTAGGTATCCCAAGGTCCAGAACATCATACCAACTTCCAAAACATCTTGCAACAACAGGCTTCTTCATGTAATGCAAGTTAATTCACATGCCTCCAAGTAATCTGTTAAGCCACCTAAATCTGTGGGATATAAAAATGGCTGAAGATGGCATAATGAGAGACACCAGCAAGTAGGCCTAAGTATAGCTGAAGATCCCAGATGGACTGGCATTCAAACATGCTTGTTGTGGGGACGTCTCTCAGTAATGCTTGAGGTGTATCTGTTATTGTCTCTGATATTGACATGTGTCCTAATCCATCGTGAGCATGGAGAGGGGTGGGTCTGGGGCGCCACACACCATTGTTGAGCCTCCTGGAGGTGTTGTGGGCTTAATTCCACTAGACGCCGATAAAGGAAGGTGCCCGCTTGACAACCCCTGTAAAATGCTCACAAAGGGATCTTTGTTGTTGTTGTTGTCAGTATTGTTAAGTACCAGTGTAATGGTCATAGTGCACCCTGTTGTGTTATATTTAGGCTATGCTGTTAGGTATGAGCACTTGCATCTGACAGTGAGAGGTCTGACTGCTATATTAAGTCCCGTATCAATAGCACTAGGAATTCCACGTTTTCCTGTGTATAACTAAAATTGTGCCCACACTCGGAGCAAGATGGTATCATTCGGTATGCAACAAATCAAGCCATTCCAAGCTGTAACATGCAAATTTCCTGAACCCAATGAAACACAGGTGCAATAGGTATCACACAGAGATAGAAAGTGAACATAGTACAAATATCTACCTCTGAAATAAAACCACTGAATGTATTATTACAGTCAGTAAAATGAGCTATTTTCAATAAATTATTAAACGATGAAGGACTAATATAACATCTGTAATTTTTTTCATATACCAGCAAGGCTTTTTAACACTCTGCATAAAAAAAAACTTTCAAGCAAATTCAAAGAACTCTTCCTGGGAAAATATACAGT